TTAATAGTACTGTAGAACTTATCTAAGGCTTGTTGGTTAAGATGGCTGGATCTCACATGACCAACCGTGTGGTTTGAGTCCTAGACCTGGCAGTTTGAGAAACACACCATGCACGTGTGCACGAATGCCCAAAATCCAAAAAGGAAAAACAAAAGAGGATATTCTGGGTGACCATCCCCTATGGGGGTGTGCTTTCTCACTTCCCCCTCTCTCTCTGTGTCTCTCCAGTGAGTGGATATGTTCTCTGGCAAATTAAAAACAAAAACAAAAACACAAAACCCCAACTCATCTCTGAGTAACCATATTTCTATATGCAAAGGCATTCAGAGTTTTGTTTGAAGTGTTTGGAGTCTGAACTTCACTGATGTCTTTAATCTGTGGGTTTGTCTCCTATGATCCTATATAATGTCCTTCTTGTGCTACTGGTGGGCTCACCTTCTGGGGTTAAAGGGCAAAAATGAGAAGTGTGTCTAACATCATCCTTATGGGGAGCAACTTGCCATTAGAACACTTTCCTAAAGAGAGCTATCATCTTTCTCTTTCTGAATTACAGCTTCCCCAGGGATAGCTTGATAAGGAAGCAGTTGTCTAAAATGGTCTTTTCCTAGGGCCAAGTAGAATTTGGATAATTAGATGGTGCAGTGTCAGAGCAGCGAACCAGGCACTTTTTCCCCAAACCATGATTTTGTGTATTTCTCAGTCAGAGTGCAGAAGTATTTTTAATCCTTAATGTTCTGAACTGTATCATTAATAGTTATTTAATAGTACTGTAGAACTTATCTAAGGCTTGTTGGTTAAGATGGCTGGATCTCACATGACCAACCGTGTGGTTTGAGTCCTAGACCTGGCAGTTTGAGAAACACACCATGCACGTGTGCACGAATGCCCAAAATCCAAAAAGGAAAAACAAAAGAGGATATTCTGGGTGACCATCCCCTATGGGGGTGTGCTTTCTCACTTCCCCCTCTCTCTCTGTGTCTCTCCAGTGAGTGGATATGTTCTCTGGCAAATTAAAAACAAAAACAAAAACACAAAACCCCAACTCATCTCTGAGTAACCATATTTCTATATGCAAAGGCATTCAGAGTTTTGTTTGAAGTGTTTGGAGTCTGAACTTCACTGATGTCTTTAATCTGTGGGTTTGTCTCCTATGATCCTATATAATGTCCTTCTTGTGCTACTGGTGGGCTCACCTTCTGGGGTTAAAGGGCAAAAATGAGAAGTGTGTCTAACATCATCCTTATGGGGAGCAACTTGCCATTAGAACACTTTCCTAAAGAGAGCTATCATCTTTCTCTTTCTGAATTACAGCTTCCCCAGGGATAGCTTGATAAGGAAGCAGTTGTCTAAAATGGTCTTTTCCTAGGGCCAAGTAGAATTTGGATAATTAGATGGTGCAGTGTCAGAGCAGCGAACCAGGGTCTAAGAATGGAGCTCCTGATGCCTGCTCTACCCTAGACCAGCCTTGGGGGTTTGTCTGTGTCACTGCCCCTTTCGGGGCCTCATTTCCTCATCTGCAAAGCAGGGGGGCTTCTGACTGGAGGTTTTCTCAGTAATCCTCAGAAACAGATTTTATTTGGGCTGACGGATATTTGATATTGTGGTGATTTCATTGTGGGTATATTCCTATGTCAAAATTTATCAAATTATATATTTTAAATATATGTAAAAATGGCATATTTAAAATACATGCAGTTTTTTGTATGTCACATATATCTCACTACAACGATTTAAAACAATCAATTTTTTCCAGTTTCTAGAACAATGAAAAAGTAGAAAGGATGATGCCTGATTTTGATATGGATCAGAAACTACAGTGCTTTCTGGAGTTTTTCCTACATCCTCCTCCTAAGGCTATCCTGTTCCTCCTCCAATTTCTTCTTTTTAAAATTATTCTTTTCATCCATTCCAGGGACTGTTCATTTTCTTCACTCAGGGGTCATCTTCAAGTCTTTTCTTTCCTTTGGACTCAGGAGTGAGATAGGGAGTAAGGGTCCTCTTGGACTGAAGCTCTGGGCTCATTGCCATTATCCTTTCCAAGAAGGAAAAGAGAGTGTTCATGTCCCTAATACTTACAGCAGATCAATTAATTGGAAAAAAATTCCTTTGAGAGTGTACCAGGCCAACTAATGTGGTAGTTAAGGTGGCTGGATCCCACATGGCTGACTGCAATAGTTTCAGTCTCAGACTCAGTGGCCTGAGAAACACTGGGCATGTGCATACATGTGCCCCAGATCCCAAGAGGAAAATGGAGAAGAGATTGCAGCATGACCATCCCCCATGGGGGATGCTTTCTCATTTCCTCTTTTTTTCTCTCTCTGTCTCTTTCTCTAGTGAGCACATGCACTCTATGGCAAATTAAAAGGAAGGAAGGAAAGAAGGAGAAAGAAAGAAGAAAGAGAAAGAAGAAGAAAGAAAGAGAATGAAAGAAAAGAGAAAGAAAGAAAGAAAGAAAGAAAGAAAGAAAGAAAGAAAGAAAGAAAGAAAGAAATAAAGAAAGAAAGAAAGAAAAGAAGGAAGGAAAAAAAAAGAAGAAAAGGAAAGTGTACTGGTGGGGACAGAATCAAAACCCGTTCTCACAGTGTTATCTTAGACCGTTATTGCTTTGCTTACAAAAATACTTAGCCTGTGTAAGTTATGAAGAATAGAGGTTTATTTGGCTTATGAGTCTGGTGGCTGGAAAGTTTAAAGGCATGCGGCTGGCATCAGGCTGACTACAACATGACCCACAGAAGCAGAGAGGATGGCAGGTACATGTACAGAGAGGAGGAGCTGCAGGCACCTGTCTTTCATAACATGCTCTTCTGAAAACTAGCCCCTTTTGAGAGCTCAAACTTACCTAGTCTCTCACAAGACAGCATTAATTCATTCATGAGACCAAAGACCCCATGAGCCAGCTACCACAATCCAATCACATTTCACCAGGCTTCACCACCTCCCAACACTGTAACATTGGGGGTCAAATGAAAAAACATGAATCTTTGGGGTGAAAAACTATTATCCAAATCAAAACATAGTGAAACTTTACACAGTGTGACAATTGAATAGGGAGGTGTTGAGAGGGCAGCCATGATGGTGGCTTCTGCCTCTCCTTTAACACCTCCTGGAAAGTCCCCTTCCCCTGACTTCTTCTATATTCAGACAGGCACCAGTTACTTATCACAGACTTGTGATTCTTCCACTGAGATGTCTCTTTGAGCTTATTTTTTAAGTTCTGTCACCCCCTAATCCAGAAACGTCTTTAAACTGGACTTTTCCAGTGGCCAGTCCTGAGGCTAGTGGTTAAGAGAGCTGGATCCTGGGTCAGCTGGTGGTGTGGTCGTTAGGATGGCTGGATCCCACATGGCCAACTGTGCAGTTTGAGTACTGGACCTGGAGAGTCGAAATACATGCCATGTGCATATGTATGTGAGCCCAAAATCTCAAGAGGACAATAGAGAAGGACAATTGATGTGGTGTGGTCATCCTCTCTAAGGGCCACTTTATCACCTTGCTTCTTTCTCTCTTACGCTCTGTCTCTCTGTGGTGAGTGCGTGTGCCCTCTATCAAATGAGAGAGAAGGAAAGAGAGAGAGTTGGATCTTACATGGTTGACTGTGCAGTTTGAATCCCGGCCCCCATGGCTTGAAAATAGTGCTAGGTGTGTGTGTAAAAACGTGTGCCTCAACAGTCTGGAGAGAGAAAGGAGAAGGGATTGCTACATGACCGCATCCCATTGGGAGTGCTTGTTCTCTTTCCTTCTCTGTTTCTCTCTGTTGAGTATATGTGCCCTCTGGCAATTAAATAAATAAATCATGATAAAATAAAAATTAAACACCCTAAATAGGTGTGTGTATTTTCTTCTTATCAAGAAAGAAGTCATATTAATTCAGATCTATGTTTTATAGGTAATGAAAGATCAGCTTTGTTTAAAAACCAACTTTTAAAAAAAATGCAAGATGAAAAAATGCTTTTTTTTCCTTTCTTACTTTGGTGTTGGGTGTGTGGACTCTCTGGAGAGGGAGAAAGAGAGAGAGAGAGAGAGAATGAGAACCCCTCTCCCCCAGGGGGGAATGAGAGAGAGAATGAGAACCCCCCTCCCCCAGGGGGGAATGGCCATGCCTCAATCTCTTCTCCTCCAATCTCCTTTTAGGACTTTGGTCATTCATGCACATGAACCTGGTGTGATTTTCAAGCCACCGGGTCTGGGACTTAAAATTAGAAATTGGCCATGTGAGAGCCATGCCTCAACATTCACCTTCTGGCTCCCAAGAAAAAACTCTTAAACATGGAAAGAAATTTGGAAAGATATATATCAAATGGTTTTCTTTAGGTGGAAGAATTAGTTGTGATTAAATAAAATATTTCCTTTTACCCCAAACTTTCTGTAACAAGCATATTCATCGTTATAATCAGGAAGACATTTTCATTTCAGGAAAAAGGACAGAAAGAAGGATAGCAATTTGGTGTAAATGCAGATAGATCACCTTAGAGATAGTGCAAAAATGAATATTAAATGCCTTCTGTTTTGTTTTAATATAGAGTGAGGACTGGAATGGGCCACATCTACAGGGACATTTAGCAGATGTGGACTGAGCGATTGCAGTGGTTCAGGGTAAACATAAAAAAATAAACAAATGAGCAAACTAATGGAATGTGATAGACAGGATGCCTGAGTAATTACTATAAATGCTCTGCCCCTCTTTTTTTTTTGTCAGGGACCTTAACCCCTAGGTCTATTAATCTGGCTTCTATCACTGGGCAAAGCTAGTGGCACGTTTTGTTCTAAATCATACATATATGATTTGCCCTTGGTATGCTCTAGCAATTTTGTTTTCTTACCATCAAAGTTTGTTATCTCATCATAGAAATGGAAAATGTACACATTGGTGAGATTACACAGGTGGATGTCTAAGACCTTGAGAATTTCACATGCAGCTGAGAAATTTACCATATGGGAATTCACTTGAGTTCTCAGAAGACCAATAGATCAACCTCAGCTATAGTCCCTATAAATAAAGTTCAGGGAGGACTCTGAATCTTGGACTCTGGAAAAACTTTTGACCATGAGGTTGATCCTGTTTTTTGGTGCCCTTTTTGGGCATATCTACTGTCGAGAAACATTTGTGGGGTAAGTTATGCTTTCTGGTGCTTGTTTGAATGTTATGTGCCTGATAGAGTCTCTCATTTGATTGTTATAAAAAATGGATGTAAGCATTGAGTGTTTTCAGAGGTTTCTTGAATTTGGGATTGGAGGGTGGTGGGCAGTGGAAAAAATAGGAATGGGTGATTGAAAAGGAGATGAATGATATGTGAAAGAAAGAACAAAAGTGAAAACCAAATACACATAATCCTATTTCTCTCTGCCCTTACTGATTTGTCCCTCCAACGGTCAGAATGTGGAGATGATAAACATCAGGGAGAAGAGAGCTATTAGGCCATTTTTCTCAGGAGGTTTCAGTCATAGTCAAGGCTGTTGTCCCACTTCCTTCCCTCCTTTCTGGATTTCATCCTCCACATCAACTCAGTCCTCTCCTATTTTAAGATTTAGTGTCTAGGTAGTGGAACCTCATGAAGCGGGAAGGCCAGGGCGGTAGATTTCAGTCAACTCTTTATCTTGTAGCTTGGTAGGATTCATCCTTTCTCCAAAGTACTTGGGTTCCACAACTATACCATGAAGGGCTCTAGCCAGCATTTTGAAAGAGGATTGTAGGGAGCTAATGAAGCAACAACAAAAAATGTGGGTGGTCAAAATTTTGGAATCAGAGAATTAAACAAACTGTAGGATATCTGGGAACTTTGACTAAATTCAAATGCGTCGTTAAGTCTGTAGGAGAGAATCTATGTAGCAAGCACATGCCCGTTTTTTAAATCACTGGCCCTTCCCCCTCCACTTTTTTCCTTCAATGAACAACTCGAAGGACTACTATTCCTTAGATCACACGCCTAATACATTACTTTCCCCAGTACTTTTCCCAGTTAAAAGAGGACACCTGGGAGTCCATGCATTAACTAAAAGTAATGAGACTCAAAAAACAAGGCACAAGAGCCCTGAAGAGCTCACATTCTATCACTTACGTATTCCACTAGAATTCACTGAAAATTACCTGGGGCCTAGTTTCAGAAGACCTATATTCTGGTTCTTGTATATGAAAGGTCTTTCATGGAAAGTTCATGGAAAATGCATATTATGAAAACAAACTGTGCATAGATTTCAAAATTTTGCATCAAATGAATTCATACTTTAATTCCATTTTTTTCATGAAATTTTTGAAGTCCCTGCCTATGGCTCACTGTACTGATTCCTTCCCAAAGCATAAATGGATGAGTAGTGACTTGGGAAGTGAGACTACTCGGAGAAAGGGAAAGACAAGGGACCTCTCTCAAAGAAGAGGCTATAAGAATCCATGTCTTCTACCTTCACCTGAAGGATCTGTGTTTACTTGTTTTGAAAGTTCTCTTTCTAGCCAAGGCATCCTTAATATCCTTTATTCTCCATTAGAAGTATGTGTGTGTGCATGTGTGTGTGTGTGTGTAAAGAGGAGCACACCATAATTTTTGAGTCCTTATTGTCCTTAACCATCCCTGAATTTAGGCCATGTGAATGGAGTTTGGAGACAGAACCCTGATACATTTTCAGGGGACAAGATAATCAAAGCAAACCAAACCAAACAACGAAAACAATCCTAAGTCTCCCTAGATGGGAATCTGATTCCTCTTACAAGCACCAAATTAATTATTCCATTTCTTCTTCGCTTATTTCAGGAAAACAAGAACCAATAACATTTGAAAGCCAATGCTTTAGAGCAGCAGGTATTATTGATAAATACTCATTAGCTAAAGGAAAGGTAATTTAAAGGCAAGTTTCCTGCTAGGAGCAGATACACGTCTTAATTATTGTTTAGATAACACTTCCTTGGAGGAAATAAAGCCATTTTATCTCCTCTTCATTCTGGAGATGTGGATCATTATACTATATATTATTTCTGGATTGCCAAACAGATTATTGAATATTGCATTGACCTCTTACACGTGGAGACTGACAGGAGCAGAAAGCAACAGGAAACAGTATCCAGGTTTTTGCTCTTTAAAAACAAAGAAAGAAAGAAAGAAAAAGAAAGAAAGAGAGAAAGAGAGAGAGAGAGAGAGAGAGAGAGAAAGAAAGAAAGAAAGAAAGAAAGAAAGAAAGAAAGAAAGAAAGAAA